CGGGGCCCCATCCTGCCCAGGGAGGGGATGCGGCATCTCCCCAAGGGCTGATGTGTGCAGGGCCCCGTCACCCCGCTGATGCCCGGTTCCATTGCAGGCGCTGACCCCCGCCGGGCCCCCCCCGGGCCAGCTGGTCGCCCCCCTGAGTGGGAATAACGCGGGGCTGCGCCGGGCAGAGATCAAGCCGGGTGTGCGGGAGATCCACCTCGGCAAGGACGAGCGGGGCAAGACGGGGCTGCAGCTGAAAAACGTCGACCAGGTGAGGGGGCTGGGCTGGCGCGGCACGGTGTGGCACGGCACGGTGTGGCACGGCACAGCACGGCACGGCATGGCACGGTGTGGCACGGCAGGGCACGGTGCATGGCATGGCCGGGCATGGCCTGGCCCGAGCATGACAGTACGGCACAGGGTGACACGGCACGGTGCATCATGGCATGGCAATGCGTGGCATTCAATGGCACAGCACGCCACAGTGCCGCACAGCAGGGTGCAGGATGGCACAGCGTGGCGTGGTATAGCGTGGTACATGGCGTGGTATAGCATGGTACATGGCATGGTATAGTGTGGTACATGGCGTGATATAGCATGGTACATGGCATGGTATAGCGTGGTACATGGTGTGGTATAGCGTGGTACATGGCATGGTATAGCATGGTACATGGTGTGGTATAGTGTGGTACATGGCGTGGTATAGCATGGTACATGGCGTGGCACATGGCGTGGTACAGCGTGGCACATGGCGTGGCACGGCTGCGCAGTCCCCATGCCGTTGCTCCCCCCATGTCCCCAGGGCATCTTTGTGCAGCTGGTGAAGGCCAACTCGCCGGCGGCGCTGGTCGGGCTGCGCTTCGGTGACCAGATCCTGCAGATCAACGGCAAGAACTGCGCGGGCTGGAGCAGCGACAAGGCGCAGCGGGCGCTGAAGAAGGCGTCCCCCGAGAAAATCGTCATGGTGGTGCGGGACAGGTGAGAGGGCGGGTGGGCAGGCGATGCCGGCGGCGGTGCCGGTGCCGGTGC